CCCCCCATTCTGCATCTCATAACACCCTCAAGGAAAAAAAATATATAGGATGAGTCGTGCTGATCCTCAAATCCGTATTGTCCTCCGTAGGATTACACAGAGGACTACGTTCAGACAGGTCCTGGGCAGCTATATGCCTACTCAACCCGGCTGTTCACCGTCGATGGCATCGGCGTCCCCTACACGTGGAACCACACCGTTTCCTACGATCAGGCTCGGGGAAGGATGCCCTTCTTGGTAGAAACACTTCGTGCATCCTCTGTGGAATCTGACTACAACCAGTTAGAGGAGACATTGGGCTTTAAAATTCATGCTTCAATTTCCAAAGGTAATTTGGTTAAGGGGAAGCCCAAATCTTTCTAAAAGGTTAAAGAATTGCATTGATGTCCTTCGAAATAAGGGTATAAGGCGTAGACCAAGCGCGATGACATCAGGCTTTTCCCGTGTGTTGTCTGTGTTTTCTGGTGGTAAAACCATTCCAGGGAGAGTTCTTGTTTTACTAATATGATGCTTCCTCTAGCATAATGGAGTTGTTCTATCCTGTGTGCAGAGAGGTTTAAAAATACTGTCAGAATGTTTTTCCTTTGGGTAATAAAACCCGTTTGTTCTTGTTCAGAATTGTATATTTTGTCAAGGAATTTTTCAGAATTCCTGAAATGGAATGTCAGGTATGTGTTAACCTAAACTAGTCCCCCAAAAAAGTCTCCATATTTTAAAAGCAGAGCAACAATAATCAGGATTCCAGCTCTCATTTCTTGTTCCTGCAAGTTATAATTTTTGAATGGCTTTCCATTTTCCAAGCATAGTTCTAAAACCCATGATCTCAGCAGTCTCCCTTTGCTCTGTGGTTCTTTGATGTGTCTGTACCCTGGGATTTCCTTTTCAGTCATAAGAGGCACCGCAACAATTAGCATTTCATATTCCATGGGATATTGGTGGTAGGAAATACTTGCATGTAGTTATGTTGACACTGTTTGACTTTAACTTTGAACATTAGGCTCCCATGAGAACACTTAAAATGATTCATACTGGCCTTGTGAATGTGTGTGTTTTGCTGTGTGCTTGCTTTCCTAAAATAGATCCAAGTAGATTTAAACAGCATCATATTGTCTTATCGTGCTCAGAAGATACACTAAAATTTTATTTTTACCACTTACTCTTGTTTTTATCAGTTACACATGTGACTAGTTTCTTCATTCATAACTGCTGCATTAAATTCGAGATTATTGTAATCTAGGAGTTTGTGTTCATATTAGATTCATTGAAGCCTTATAGTCAGTGGAGCCCATAGCCCTCTACCTCCCCCACCCACATGTCACCACCAACACCTCATTCTACTGTTGACATGCGTGATCAGGTCACCAAAGGAAAGAGCCTCTGGAATGGTTATATTTTCTCTTCCTCGATAATGCCTTCTTTTCAAATCTAATCTGTTTCTATTTTTTCTAGTACTCCAGATAATTTTTAAAAAGTTATCTTGAGCCCAGCCAGCGTGGCTCAGCAGTTGAGCATCGACCTAGGATCCAGGAGATCGAGGTTCGATTCCGGGTCAGGGCACATGCGCGGGTTGCGGGCTCGATCCCCGGTAGGGGGCGCGCAGGAGGCAGCCGATCCATGACTCTCTCATCATTGATGTTTCTATCTCTCCCTCTCCCTTCCTCTCTCAATAAAGACATATTTTTTTTTAAATAATAATAATTTGGAACAAGACTTTGGATAAAAAATGGATTTATGCCATCTGGGGCTAGAGGAATTAAGATGATTTTTGAAAAGTTATGTATAGTTTCTACCCAGTTGTATAAATCCTTTAAGCCTGAAACAGCTGGGAGGTCTTTTTGGTACCTGTAGAGGTATTTTGGGGGGGGGTTGGGTCCCAATATATGACATTTAAAACCCCTTGCTATCCTTAAATACTATGATTGTATACATTACAGCTGATATGTGTGCCCATTTGCTTGTTGGCATAGTTGCTGAGAATTGAGTTGTGTACCTGAAATTTCTTTTTAAGTGACCAAAGTGACCACCAGGGGGCAGGCTTGCATTCTTGGTTACTTTACCAGAAGGTTCTTTCTCTGCTATGTTGGGTCTAGACAACAGTTATGGTTACAGTGCAATTAGAATCACCTAGAGAGTTTGATGAAAGTTCAGATTTATAAGCACAAAGATTTTGGTTTAGCTAGACTAAGGTAGACCCTGGGAGTTTGTACTTTCTAAAAAATATATCGTTACTGATTTCAGAGAGAGGAAGGGGGAAAGAGATAGAGACATCAATGATGAGAGAGCCATCACTGATCAGCTGCCTCCTGCATGCCCCAAAAGGGGATCGAGCTTGCAGCCTGGGCATGTGCCCTGACCGGGAATCGAACCTCGGTCTCCTGAATTTAGGTCAATGCTCAGCCACTGAGCAGTGCCTGGCCAGGCGGGAGTTTGTATTTTTAACAACCCCTAAGTGATTCTAATATGGGGTCTGCACACTGGCATTTGGAAACTACTGGTCAAGACAACACAGTATACATCAATATAATTTTTAAAAATTGATCTTTAAAATCAAATGGATTCCTTTTTAAAATATAATTATAAAATATATTTAATTTTACAAGTTAAACAAAAAATATCAGAAACAATAGACGAAAAGATAAATAAATTTAACTACAAATAAATTTTTAAAACTTTTCATGGGAGAAAAATACAAAATTGAGAAAGTAAGATATACACCAAGAAAAAATATTTGCATTACATATGAACAACTATGATTAACCTTAGTATATACAAGGCTTTTAACAATTAGTACGAAAAAGGCAAACACCCCAATAGAAAAGCACATAAAGGCTACGAACAGGAAATGCTCAAAGGAAAAACCAATAATGACAAAATGAATTTGAAAAATTGTTTCACTTCATCAGTAAGCAAAGAAATGCACATTGAAACCGGGAAGTACCATTTTTCAGTTATGGCTCAGACATTAATAAATACGATACAGTCGGTATTGGAGCAGCACAGGGAATGCACCCCCCACACTGCCAGCAGAGGTGGTGACTTTGCTTAACATTCTGGAAAGCAGGATGTGCCAGTGGCCTTCCAAATCTTCCCATCTTTTTCGTTATCTCATTCTGCCCTAAGAAAACCACAAAAATGGCCAATAATAAATGTCCTGGAAGTAAGAGGTAAATATGTACATGATGGCACAGCTATGTGATAAACTCGTAAGCAGTCATTAAAATAATTTTAGAGGAATATTTAGCTCACTTAGTCATTTGAAAATGTTTGTTGAGCGCCTGCTGTGAACCGGGCACTGTTCTAGGTATTGACCGAGTAGCTATGACAAGGGACAAAGGAGATTGTACACCACATAATAATGATTGAAAAGCGGCACATACACAGTGTGATCCCCGCCTGGGTTGCCCACACCACGGTGCATATAAGAAAAACTTTATATGGGTGAAACAGATTCCGAGGCTCTTCCCTGGCAATGCTGACTGAGATCGGACCGAGAGATCTATATTTTTAAGAAGCTCTCCAAGAGATTGTCTGATCAGTAAAATACGGCCGTTACTCTGTAGAGTGGAAGATTCTAACTTACTTTTTGAAGGCTATGCTCATAAAAGTTACTAGAGGGAGAGGCATCAAAATGTTGGCAGTAGTTTGTTTAAAGTGACAAGTTTACAGGGAATTTTACACTTTCCACAGTTTCTACAATGATCTCTAACACAAACAAATATTTTGCGTTGTCCCCTTAATATGGCAGGATGAAAATCATAACTAATGTAATTCAAAATAACATACTTTATAACCTAAAGAATAAATAAAAGAGAAACAGTTTATAACAAAATATGATGTCTTTCAATGTAAAAACCTTTAGACATTACTACAGTGTAAGATAAGACAGAAGTGTTCCTATGGCTGAGCCTATAATATGTAGAGCCCCAGTGTGATATTTAAAAATATATATATATTGAGTAATTCTTGGTTATGTTCTGAATAAAACAATGTAGAGTCAAACAATTTATATTACAGTAGCATTCTTAGAAAATTTATTGTATATTTTAATCACACAAAACACTGTTTACTATGTGGAAGATGGTTTCTAGCCTTAGATAATTAAAACCAGCTCTCTCACTTCCATGAAACTCTTTCAGAGCAAGGGGCAGATCTCCATCTTGCATCAATATACCACATACTGCAGCATTTTAAAACCTGCCCCGGGGTCTGCCCTTCTCTCCAAATTGTAATAGGCCTCCCTATCATTGTGAAAATCAAAGTATCTCCCAAAAAGCTGCCCAAATGCCACCTAAAAGGACAATATCCACCCCATTCAGAACCAAAAATCAAAAGCTACCCTCAGGTACTAACTTACTGTGTTTATATGACATGGGTTTTCCAAAAGTACATTCACAACACAGTGCCCTACACAACATACTGGCTGGATTAAAGAATGTACAACTAAGTGAACAGGCAAAACTGAAGCATGCGTTAGAATCACCACCTGGGTTGTGTTCTTGATTTCCGTGGTTGAAAGTCAAACCAATTTGCATCTAACTTGTTGCTCCAGTTATATTAGGTCTTTGGCTTTAGGCAGCTTGCATAACCTCGGTCTCTAATTCCTCATCAGAAAATTGGTTATAAGAGTAGAGGAGTTGTGAGGTTTAAATGAAATAAAGCACATGAGACTCACAGTGCTGCCTGACAACACAGTCACCATGCAATAATCACTTAGCACTATGCTCAAGACGTTTCTGTTCCACCCATCCTATTCCTGTTCCCTTGCAGGTGCAACAAGACTTGGATGCTCTCAGGGTCATGTTTACAGTCACGGTAGAAATGGATCATGAACCTCTGCTTTCTCTTTAAGGTTTTAAGCAATCAGGTTGCATAGAAATAGCAACTAGGACTCTAGTTTTCCAGTCAAGAAAATATTTTCGTTGGAGTAGTGTTTCTTACACCCTCTAAATACATAAACAATTTGGAACAGTTGCATGTCCTCAGCAGGGCTCAAGCAATATTGTACTCAGAGACTCTCCAAAGTAGGATGAATCTGAAAAATTAACTAATGCCCAGATTCCCTCTATGAAGAGCTCCTAAAACAATAATAAAAATCATCACAAACCTGGCTGGTGTGGCTCAGCGGTTGAACATCAACCTAGGATCCGGGAGATCGAGGTTCGATTCCTAGTCAGGGCACATGCCTAGGTTGTGGGCTTGATCCCCAGTAGGGAGCGTGCAGGAGGGAGCTGATCAATGACTCTCTCATCATTGATGTTTCTATCTCTCCCTCTCCCTTCCTCTCTAAAATCAATAAAAACATTTTAAAAATAATAAT